CCCAGTGTGATTAGGGGATATTTATCCAGTTTGATTAGGGGATATTTACCCAGTGTGATTAGGGGGTATTTACCCAGTGTGATTAGGGGGTATTTACCCAGTGTGATTAGGAGATATTTATCCAGTGTGATTACGGATATTTATCAAGTGTGATTAGGGATATTTCTCCAGTGTGGTTAGGGATATTTACCCAGTGTGATTAGGAGATATTTATCCAGGGTGATTAGGAGATATTTATCCAGTGTGAATTAGGGGATATTTACTGAGTGTGAGGAGGGGATATTTACCCAGTGTAATTAGGGGATACTTACCCGGTGTGATTAGGGGATATTTACCCAGTGTGAATTAGGGGATATTTACCCAGTGTGATTAGGGGATATTTATCAAGTGTGATTAGGGATATTTATCCAGTGTGATTAGGGATATTTGCCCAGTGTGATTTGGGGATATTTATCCAGTGTGATTAGGGGATATTTACCCAGTGCAATCAGGGGATATTTACCCAGTGTGATGAGGGAATATTTACCCACTGTGATTAGGGGGTATTTACCCAGTGTGATTATGGATATTTATCCAGTTTGATTAGGGGATATTTACCCAGTGCAATAAGGGGATATTTACCCAGTGTAAATTAGGGGATATTTACCAAGTGTGATTAAGGGGTATTAATCCAGTGTGATTAGAGATATTTACCCAGTGCGATTAGGGGATATTTATCCAGTGTGATTAGGGGATATTTACCCAGTGCAATAAGGGGATATTTACCCAGTGTGATTAGGGGGTATTTACACAGTGTGATTAGGGATATTTATCCAGTTTGATTAGGGGATATTTACCCAGTGCAATAAGGGGATATTAACCAAGTGTAAATTAGGGGATATTTACCAAGTGTGATTAGGGGGTATTTATCCAGTGTGATTCGGGATATTTACCCAGTGTGATTAGCGGATATTTATCCAGTGTGAATTAAGGGACATTTACCCAGTGTTTTTAGGGGATATTTGACCAGTGTGATTAGGGGATATTTACCCAGTGTTTTTAGGGGATATTTACCCAGTGTGGATTAGGGAATATTTACCTAGTGTGAATTATGGGATATTTACCCAGTGCAATAAGGGGATATTTACCCAGTGTGATTAGGGGATATTTACCCAGTGTGAATTAGGGGATATTTACCCAGTGTGATTAGGGGATATTTATCAAGTCTGATTAGGGATATTTATCCAGTGTGATTAGGGATATTTACCCAGTGTGATTAGGGGATATTTATCCAGTGTGATTAGGGGATATTTACCCAGTGCAATAAGGGGATATTTACCCACTGTGATTAGGGGGTATTTACCCAGTGTGATTAGGGATATTTATCCAGTCTAATTAGGAGATATTTATCCAGTCGAATTATGGGGTATTTACCCAGTGTGAATTATGGGTATTTACCCAGTGTAATTTGGGGATATTTACCCAGTGTGATTAGGGGATATTTACCCAGTGTAATTAGGGGATATTTACCCAGTGTGATTAGGGGATATTTACCCAGTGTGGATTATGGGATATTTAATCAGTGTGGTTAGGGGTCTTTACCCAGTGAGAATTTGGAAATATTTATCCAGTGTGAATTAGGGGATATTTGCCCAGTGTGAATTAGGGGATATTTGCCCAGTGTAATTGGGGGATATTTACCCAGTGTGGATTAGGGGATATTTACCCAGTGTAATTAGGGGATATTTACCCAGTGTGGATTAGGGGATATTTACCCAGTGTGAATTAGGGGATATTTACCCAGTGTGTTAAGGGGATATTTACCCAGTGTGATTAGGGGATATTTACCCAGTGTGAATTAAGGGATATTTACCCAGATGGATTACAGTATGTTTACCCAGTGTGGATTAGGGGATATTTACCCAGTGTGAATTAGGGGATATTTACCCAGATGGATTACAGGATATTTACCCAGTGTGTTTAGGGGATATTTACCCAGTGTGATTATGGATATTTACCCAGTGTGAATTACAGGATATTTACCCAGTGTGATTAGTGGATATTTACCCAGTGTGGTTTAGAGGATATTTACCCAGTGTGATTAGGGGATATTTATCCAGTGTGGATTAAGGGATATTTACCCAGTGTAATTAGGGGATAGTTACCCAGTGTGAATTAGTGGATATTTACCCAGTGTAATTAGGGGATATTTACCCAGTGTGAATTAGGGGTTATTTACCCAGTGTGCTTATGGGATATTTACCCAGTGAGAATTTGGGGATATTTACCCAGTGTGAATTAGGGGATATTTACCCAGTGTAATTAGGGGATATTTAGCCAGTGTGGATTAGGGGATATTTACCCAGTGTGAATTATGGGGTATTTACCCAGTGTAATTTGGGGATCTTGATCCAGTGTAATTAGGGGATGTTTACCCAGTGTGGATTAGGGGATATTTACCCAGTGTGGATTAGGGGATATTTACCCACTGTGGATTAGGGGATATTTACCCCATGCGATTCGGTGATATTTACTCAGTATGAATTAGGGATATTTACCCAGTCTAATTAGGGGATATTTATCCAGTCGAATTAGGGGATATTTACCCAGTGTGAATTTGGAAATATTTATCCAGTGAGTTTAGGGATATTTACCCAGTGTGATTAGGGGATATTTATCCAGTGTGATTAGGGATATTTACCCATTGTGAATTAGGGGATATTTACCCAGTGCAATGAGGGGATATTTACCCAGTGTGTTTACAGAATATTTACCCAGTGTGCTTATGGGATATTTACCCAGTGTGATTATGGATATTTACCCAGTGTGATTAGGGGATATTTACCCAGTGCAATTAGGGAATATTTTCCGAGTGTGAATTTGTGGATATTTATCCAGTGTGATTAGGGATATTTACCCAGTGCAATTAGGGAATATTTTCCAAGTGTGGATTAGGGGATATTTACCCAGTGTGTTTAGGGGATATTTACCCAGTGTGCTTATGGGATATTTACCCAGTGTGAATTAGGGGATATTTACCCAGTGTAATTGGGGGATATTTACCCAGTGTGAATTAGGGGATATTTACCCAGATGGATTACAGGATATTTACCCAGTGTGTTTAGGGGATATTTACCCAGTGTGATTATGGATATTTACCCAGTGTGAATTTCAGGATATTTACCCAGTGTGATTAGTGGATATTTACCCAGTGTGGTTTAGGGGATATTTACCCAGTGTGATTAGGGGATATTTATCCAGTGTGGATTAGGGGATATTTACCCAGTGTGATTAAGGGATATTTACCCAGTGTGATTAGGGAATATTTTCCAAGTGTGGATTAGGGGATATTTACCCAGTGTGTTTAGGGGATATTTACCCAGTGTGCTTATGGGATATTTACCCAGTGTGATTAGGGATATTTATCCAGTGTGATTAGGGATATTTACCCAGTGCAATAATGGGATATTTACCCAGTGTGTTTAGGGGATATTTACCCAGTGTGGATTACGGGATACTTACCCAGTGTGAATTAGAGGATATTTACCCAGTGTGAATTAGGGGATATTTACCCAGTGTAATTTGGGGATATTTCCCTGGTGTGATTAGGGGATATTTACCCATCGTAATAACAGGATATTTATCCAGTGCAATAAGGGGATATTTACCCAGTGTGATTAGCAGATCTTTACCCAGTGTGATTAGGCGATATTTACCCAGTGTGAATATGTGGATATTTATCCAGTGTGATTAGGGATATTTACCCAGTGTGAATTGGCGAATATGTACCCAGTGTGAATTAGTGGATATTTACCCAGTGTGTTTAGGGGATATTTACCCAGTGTGCTTAGGGGATATTTACCCAGTGTGATTAGGGATATTTACCCACTGTGGATTAGATGATATTTACCCAGTGTGGTTAGGGATATTTACCCAGTGTGAATTTGTGGATATTTATCCAGTGTGATTAGGGGATATTTATCCAGTATGATTAGGGATATTTATCCAGTGTGATTAGGGATATTTATCCAGTGTGATTAGGGGATATTTACCCAGTGTGATTACGGATATTTATCCAGTGTGGATTACGGGATATTTACCCAGTGTGATTAGGGGATATTTATCCAGTGTGATTAGGGGTTATTTACCCAGTGTGATCAGGGGATATTTACCCAGAGTGATTAGGGATATTTATCCAGTGTGATTAGGGGATATTTGCCCCTTGTGATTATGGGATATTTACCCAGTGTGGATTATGGGATATTTACCCAGTGCAATAAGGGGATATTCACCCAGAGTGATTAGGGGACCTTTACCCATTGTGGATTATTATATATTTACCCAGTGTGATTAGGGATATTTATCCAGTGCAATTAAGGGATATTTACCCAGTGTGA